GCAGTCCCCTCTAGGGACAGTGCCCTTTGCCGTCTTCTTCCAATACTTGTTCATGTATGGCTTCAACATTGGTGCATGATTTCACTAATGCTGTAGCAAATTTCAAAAACTTTTTGACACCAGGATCATTAAAAATAATCTAAAGGTTAAGAGAGATGGCTAAGCAGATAAAGGCACTTGTTGCCAAGCCTGAAAACCTGAGTTAAATCCCTGAGATCCACATGGTAGAAGGAGAGAACCAACTCTCCTGACCTCCACTTAATACTACATGGCATGAGCACCTCCCCCATACACAAAATACATAAGTGTAACATAAAAATAAAACAATAAGAAATACGGCAACGGTACACACTCTGCTCTGGGCTTGAGGCCTAGAGCTCAGTTCCCAGCACCCAGAAGCCCTGTCCAACAGTTTACAGATGCTATATCTCCACCTGCAAGACATCCTGCACCCTCTTCTGGTCTCTGCACACACACACACACACACACACACACACACACATGCACACATGTCTACCCGTGTGTATACACACATGCATATACATAAATTGACTATTTTTAGTAAGCGTATTATACAAGTGCTACACCATGTGCTGCTTTCTGGTAGACTAAATTGGTCCTAGAATGCTAAGTTGGTACTTTATTTTCATCATCAAAATGTAAGCTGAGGTGGTTTGAATCTGTTTTAGACAACTTAATTTGCTTAAGGTCAGAGTTGTCATTTTCTTTGGAATTGAAAGTCATAAAATTATAACTGTAACTGATTAAATTACATCTTAGGGCTTAGGGCTTCTATTGCTGTGAAGAGACATCATGACCATGATAACTCTTATAAGGAAAACATTTAATTGGGATGGCTTACAATTAAAGGTTAGTCCATTATCTTCACGGAAGGACATAGTGGCATACAGGCAGACATGGTGCTGGAGAAGAAACTGAGGGTTCTACATCTTGATCTGCAGGCATCAGGAAGTGAACTGTGACACTGGGAGTAGCTTGAGCATAGGAGTTCTCAAAGCCCACCCCCATAGTGACACACTTCCTCCAACAAGGACTTACCTACTCCAACAAGGCCACTCCTTTTTCTTTCAAGTGTAATATCTTACCTGTGTTCCATTTGGACTTTATATATACTTATTGGCAGTTCAGAGAATCTTAGCTGTGCACTACATGAAAAACCATATCACTTTGACTTTTAGATTTTCAAACAACGTTTTGCTTATCTGTTGAGGTAAGTTTGTGGGAGTACACAGGAGGGCATCTTTGCAAGCATGGGGGGTCAAGGCAAGTTCCTCATCAGAGGTGACCTCTCGGCAGACCCTGAAGGGGAAGTGCTGTATTAATACAGAGCTGTGTCTTTTCTCCCATAGGTATTTGATTCCCAATGCGGGAGATGCTACCAGAGCCATAAAGCAGCAGATCATGAAAGTGTTGGATGCTTTGGAAAGTTAACGTAAAAGAAAGCTATTTAAGTGAAATTAAGGCAACCAAGAGAAACATGAAAATATATTTCCTGACTCAGTACCCTCAGAGACCTTTCATTTGCTCATGGGGTGCCTGAGTAGAGGGTGTGATGCAAATTATTGTAATCAATCTCGGGATGGGTACACTTTTTTAAAAATTTCTTTTCCATCTTTGGTTTTATAAGATGATTTATTATAAAGGTCAGTTATTAAATGACTTTGAAGTAACTGGCCTTGTGCCCTATGGATCAGGGGCACAGAATGCAGTTCTGTTTTGAAGAGCTGTTTTAAGAGACATGCATCCTTTTCGGGTTTGGAAGCAGCCGTACACATCCATATTTGCAATGTCTTCACTGAAATTTAGGGAGTTAATCGCTACAATGAGCAGTAGGAGAAAATTAAAAGTGTAGAGTAATAATTAGCTGACTGTTTCTGTTCTCAAAAAGACTGAAGTCTGTTTCATGGAATGGATGGAGATCATAGCCAACTGAAAACAGAGCCCATAGCTCTATAAGCCCTGAAGCATCAGTCTCGCCTTCTCCACTCCAGTGGGGATTATTTGGTGACTAATTGCCTCACAGACTCTAATCTCTTTCCCAGTGGTTGCTAAGGAACAGTTAACAGGATCAGAAGTAAGTAGGCATGTTAAGGTTCAAATTAGCATTTGGGGACAGGATTGTATCTGTAAAAATGTCATTGGCCTTTATTACTTGGTCCATTTGGTCTAGGATATTTCAGAATGTGTTGAACACTCTGGTTTATGTCATGAGATGATCACCTGTGACCACACTGACGTCCAGTTAAAAGACAGATAATCAGCGAGCCATAGAAATTTCAGTGTTTTTCTATCACTTTCTAAGCATTTTCTTTTGGTTTTGTCTTCTCAGTAAAATTTCAGTAGTTGGAACTATTTGTATTCTTTATCCCGGCAAAGCTGAGGCAGCTGTTCTGCAGCTTGCTCAGATCCATTTCTGTGGCCCATATCAGTCACATGTGATGAGGGATCCAGAAACAGCTTTTGGACCATGGGATGATTTTCATAAAATCTGTTTGAAAAATAATAACTATAACCTGCCATGTCATAAAATGTAATGCTCTCTAAGGGGTTGGTTGGTAGAAATATCCAGATGTGCCCCACTAGTTGTTTTAATTTGCTAAATGGAAATCAAGTGAAATAAAGATAACACAATTAAAAACTTTATCCTAATATCTAAATAAGAACAATTTATTTGAGTGGTTGAAGACATTTGCATGAAATTGCACCTGTGCAGTACTTGATATTTATAACCCCCCCCAACTGTTGTATTGCAGTTTTCTGTTTTCTTGACACCCTCTTTGAAATGTCCTGAAGTCTCATTTTTCAACCATCTCAGCTGTGGGACTTTTTTCATAATATTAATGTAAAGATGTTTGTGTTACTGTTTATAAATCACACCTGTAAATAAACTGATACAGTTTGCTCAAAACTTCTGTTCTCAAGGCTATTTTTATTTGTATCTATCTGCAGATTAAACATTTCTGCTATATTCCTATTTCCGTTCATGTCCCTAAGGTATCTTAAAACTAATAACACTATTTGGGTGCTGGGGTTAAAAAAAAAAAAAAGACAGAGGCAGGAGGATCCCTTGAGCTCAGGAAGTAATGGTCCTGCACCTTTTCCTCCTCTCTTTTCTGGGACAGATCAGTAGATCTAAAGGGACTCTGGCCAGCTTGAGCTTGGTGGGTGTTGCTCTGGCAGACCTTGTCCTTCTCCCTCATTCCTGCTTTGCTTAAAACAACAACAACAACAACAACAAAAACTTAGATTACATTCCTAAAGCTGACCACTTCCTCCTCATGAGGAGGTTCAGCTATCAAAGTACTAAAGTCCAACAAAAGCCCCCTCTGGCTCACCTCATTAATATGCCCAATTAAAATTAAGCACCTCATCCTAACACGGGCTTTCCCCTTGTACCTTTATAAACTGCTGTTCACTTGCACACCGCATCTGTCTCCTCTACCCAGAGTCAGTCCTTTGTCCCTCCAGAACAAATACCCTTCCCCTTTCCCTTGTTCTCTTCCGCTTCTCCCTCATCCTCTGTCTCTGGTGTTTCACTCTTATTCCCTGCTCTCTGTCCCTCTGGGCCAAATAAATCTCTTTGTGCCGAGAACTTGGCCTTGGGTTTCCTAAGTTGATACTTTCCTTTAAAGATCCTTCTCTGTAGACCTGGCTTTCTCTGGAATAGTTGTCATGGCTACCAGGCCAATGCATTTTCTAGTGCAAGATGGAGATGGGGTGAATATGTTATATCTGGATGAAAGAAGGCCATACTGCAACACACTCACACACACCTTCTTCCAGCTCATGCATTCTTTACCTGTCTTCCACAATGTCTCCCAGGTTCTTAACAGATATGTGAGAGATGATTCTGTGAGCCCTTTGAGATGTGATGTGGGTGCTGGGAACAAAACTGGAGCAGTGAGTGCTCTTAACCACTGCGCCATCTCTCCAGCCCATGCATCGACCCCTTTAAACGGCTGTTTCTGGTTCGTTCTTTCCCCCCAGAGATACCACACCCCAAAGTTTGTAAAAACTCAGCCCTCACTGGATGCTCTTTGGCCAAGTTTTTTTTTGGGGGGGGGGGGGATTTGATCTTCAGGCTTTCTGCTTTTGTCTTGTCCCAGCTCTATTATCTCCTTGCTTCCACGCTCTGCAAATGTGACAAGGTATGTACTTTGACCCCGACCACCATGCTCTACAAATGTGACAAGGTATGTACTTTGACGGGACCACCATGCTTTGCAGATGTGACAAGGTATGTACTTTGACGGGACCACCACGCTCTACAAATGTGAAAAGGTATGTACCTTGACCCCGACCACTGGAAACATTAGAAAGCGGTGTAGCTGGGTGTGGTTCACTACTCAACCCCAGCATCCAGGAGCTGGAGCATGAGGAGTAAGTCAAGGCGGCTCAAAGCTACATAGTAAATTAAAAGGCCTGGGTTACAGGAGACCCTGTCTGAAAAGTCTAAGAAGCCCCCAAACAAATAAAAACAAAACAGCGAATTAAATAATAAATACAAACGCCAAGTCTTAGAATACAGCCTAGCACCAATTCTCCATCTCTTCCCCCTCCTTGGAGCAAGCTTCTAAAGTCCAGTTAGCCTAAACCAACCAGGTGCACCTCCTTAAGCCTGTCAGCAGGTAGCAGTTGTTACCCTGGCCGCTGCTGTGATCCAACCTGAAATTTCAGTTCTTTTTGCCACGTAAAGAGCCTTTCTACCCAAAAGGGACCACTAATGTAGGCCGCTCACTCCTTTTGGCCCTTGGTTCTGGAGGTCTAATTATCTCTTTTTGATGTATTCAAGCGCAAAGAGTGAGCCATTTTTAGTGCAGAGTCGAGGCAAAGATGTAGTTCAGTGGTAGACAGGTGCTGAACTTGTTCAAGCCCGATCCTAACTCACCAGCGTAGCAACAGAGCCCAAAACAACAGCAAAGCCAAACACCTAGGGCCCCAAACTCAACGAGGCCCCGCCCCTCGTCCCAGTTCTTGGCCACGCCCCTTCGACACGCTGCTGGGCCCCGCCTCCCACGTTTGGCCCAGGGATTGACTGACTGGTCGCCTTCCGGTCGCTCTTGGTGCTCCGAAGAAGAGCTATGGCTAGTAAGTGGCTCGCGGCCTGGTCGTCGAGCTCCCCGCGGGAGCGGAGGCTTTGGTGCGGCGGTGCAGATGAGCCGGCTGGCCCTTTGCGTCCCCCGGCCCGCCTTGCCGGTGGCTCAGGTCGCGGGTGTCCGCGGCTCGCGGGCAATCCCGGGGTAGTAGGGCCGCGAGCCGTGCGAGCACAGGCCTCCGGGCCAGGCGTCCTGTCATTGGGATCCCGGAGCTGTGGGGTGGGTGGTGCTTTCAGATTTAGTGGCCCTAACTCCTTCGCCTAACAGATGGTCGCATCTCAATTCACAGTTCATATGTTAGCTTCATGTGCCACTGAGTTCTGTGACTTGGTGCGGACTTCCCACTGATGTGTTTATTGGTGCCATGACCTGGCGTGCTCATTTCAATGTGGTTCCCGCATTGGGTCCTTCACTCGCGGTGTTTTGCTTCCCCCCTCTCCTTGGGTCATTGTTCTTTCGAATTTATGAAGATTATTAGGGCAGCCAGGGATTTCCAAAGCCATTATTATCGTTCCTTGAGAAGGTGAAGCAACAAGTGGAGGACCCCAGTGGAGGGTTTTCCCTGCTCCAGCCTGCAGAGGGCGCTTTCCACCAGCCCCAAGCCTGGCTAGGGCCCTTATCCCTAGAGTGACTTGTGGGAGAGTGGACGCTAGAAGCAAAACCGTGGTGAGTGCGTTGTATCCTCCCTTCAGAAGCTTAGACAGCCAGCTTCCTAGGTTTAGGACCTTAGTGAGTTTGTGTGAACTGTAGTTGCCACAGCTCAAGGTGTGTTAACCTGAAAGTAATGGAGGGTTTTGGTTTCCTTTTTTTAATTTTCTTTTTAATCCAGATCTGGCACTGTTCAGCAAGAGATATTCAGGGCTAAATGTAGCTTCTTACCATATATATTTAGGATAAATCAAAAAGTTAGAGATCGTAGTTTTTATACTTTAAACGATCATTTTGGCCTTCATCAGAAGCCAGGTTTTGTCAGTGTGATCTGTCCTTTTTATTGTCAGCAGTTGTGACGATCAGAACCATGTCCAAACATTGCTAGATGCCCTGTTTGAGAATCCTGGGTCTTGCTGAATGAAGTGGGCAGATCTGATGACTCTTCTTTGTCCTCAGCTTTCCGATTGGCCCTCATCCAGCTTCATGTTTCTTCCATTAAATCAGACAACGTTTCCCGGGCTTGTAGCCTAGTACGGGAGGCAGCAAAGCAAGGTGCCAAAGTAGTCTCCCTGCCGGTAAGTATGGGGACAGCCGACTGTTTCTAGGAGCCGTGGACCTGCCTCAGTGGTGTTTGCCAGCGGTGGTCCTAGTGTGCCCCAGCTCCAACGATGTCTTGTTTCGTGTGTGTCTCCTTTATCACAAAGATGAGCTTTATCCTCTTTACCCTCAGATGTCCAACATTGTTACAGGTCTAACAGGATCAGATGAGGTTTGGGGAAATTACCTAAAGATAGCACTTTTAGGGCCTGTATGCCTACTTTGTTCCTTACATAGTTATGGCTTTCTGTTGTCATGTTTTGAAAAATTGCTTTGATGCTTTAGTTGAGGGTTGTATCGAATTTGGTGGTCAGTAGTATAAGGTCAATGTTGGAGCTCCAGGATGAGCAGTAATCTTCAACAAAGGGAATCTTGTTAATTGTGTGTGTGTGTGTGCGTGTGTGTGTGTGTGTGTGTGTGTGTGTGTGCTGTGTGCTGTGCATGCGCATGCCCAGAAAAACTAGAAGTCAGTCTTGGATGTCATTCTATAGGAGCAATTCAGTTTTTCCTTCCTTCCATCTTCCCTCCCTCACTCCCTCCCTTCCTCCCTTCCTTCGTTTTTGTTTTTTTTGAGACAAAGTTTCTTTGTGTAGCCATGACTGTCCTGAAACTCTCTGTAGACCAGAGAACTGTTGAAGGCAGATGTGGGGTGTGTGTGTGTGTGTGTGTGTGTGTGTGTGTGTGTGTGTTTGTCTTTCTTGGTGTCTGTGACCCAGCCCTGTCTTTGTTTCATCCTCATCTACTTTTCCCATCTGTAAGGGACACCAAGGATCATAAGGATAGCACCAAAGTGGGATTAGAGACAGCGTGGTGGAGTTACTGAAGTCACTGCACTTCTTTGGCTTTCTGAACTTTTTATGCATAAGTTTTGTTGCTTTATATAATCAGTATAATTTTGAACTTCAGAATTCATCTCAGTATTCAAAATCACAGAAAAGACCCAGTTTTTAGGTGCCTGAATGCCCAGGAACTGGCCATTCTGCAAGCTCCGGGTCTAGCCTTCTGCCAGGGTCACCAGAATGATTTGTTGTCTCTGTCCTCCCTGGGGGTAATTGCCTGTCTGCCTTTGATTGCATGTTGTTTAGCCCTAGGCCTTTTCCTGCCTTTTATCCGTTCACTCAGGACAAGAGTTGGAAGACCCGTTTCCACTTTCTGCAGAATTTTAAATGCTTTGCCCCTTTTCTTCTCCTCTAACATTAATCCAGGAGTGCTTTAATTCTCCGTATGGAACAAACTATTTTCCTGAATATGCGGAGAAGATTCCTGGCGAGTCCACCCAGAAGCTTGCCGAAGCAGCCAAGGAGAATAGCATTTATCTCATTGGAGGTAATTTCTTCCATGTGGTGTAACATGTAAACAGTAAAAACATTAGGATGACATTTGTTACATCTAAACTAACACATTTCAGCCCTTGAAAAGGAGGTGGTTGCCAGGGGTCGTGGCACACACCTACAATCCCAGCCCTTGGAAAGCAGAGGCAGAAGGATTGTAAATTCAAGATCAACTAGGGATAGATACACTTCAGGATGCACTAAGTGTAAAACCTGCAAGTTCAGCATGATTATGAGCAGAATTTCCCTACTTAGATTAATCTCCTCGACAAGAGGTGGCTGTACTTTAACAGGGAGTTAAATCAGTTATGTATGCAAAAGGCCTAGCAGACACCATGGGAAGAATCACACCAACCTGATCCTGATGAGTTCCCCTGTAAACAGAGTGTACCTAGATATAGTGTGGCAAGACCTCACCTCTGTTCTCTGTGCTGATTTAGGGGACAATAAACCTCGAGAGGGTGAATAAATATGATGAACAAGGCCATTTCGTATCGCGACTACATGATAATTGAATAGGTGGTGTCAGTGCACAGGTGTGTGTGGAATCGGTTCTGTGACGGAGAAAGGCTTGTGTCTTAGCTTTATCCTGGGGCCTCAGAAATCAGTGTTGTTGTAAGATGCTGAATTTGAGCAACGGGGAGCTCCTGATTTTGCTCTGATGTTACATATTAACGGTTGCGCAATGCCATGGCTGAATTTCAGGGGCAGTTTGGTCACTTTTTAAACCGTCCTCTGACATCTTGCTTAATTATAGCTTATCAATAATTTGGAGTTTAACCCCTGAAAGATATATCAAGGGGGAAAAGAATGCTTAGTTACTGGACCCAAATGACTGTTTCCTAGGTGTTTACTTAGTATCACAAAGCTATTGGCCCGTTCCTTTTTGTTACTGTTTCACATGACTATGTATTTCTCGATGAAAGGCTCCATCCCTGAAGAGGATGCTGGGAAGCTGTATAACACCTGTGCTGTGTTTGGGCCTGATGGGAGTTTATTGGTAAAGCACAGAAAGGTCAGTAGAGGGTATACAAATCTCATCACTTTTCATTTTCTGTTTCTTGCTAGGATGTAGAAATTATAATTAATCTTTAGACTACTGGTTGGTATGTAGCAACGTTGCTGAATTTATTCATCAATTCTCCTAATTTAATTTCGATTCTATAATCTGAGAAAGACAGCTCCATCCTCTCTTTCCCTTACTTCCTTATTTCACTCCTTTTTCTTGTTGCTTCATGTGGGATCTCAGGAATACCATTAAATAATAGGTGTCCTCATCTTGTTTCCCACCCCAGAATGAACACGTTAGCCATTGTTCCCCCAAATATGATGGTTGTTTTAGGGTTGTTTAGTATAACTATTAGATGAGAAGAGTTCCCAGCATGGAAGAGTCATGCTGTCTTGTTTTTAAAGTCATGGTTGTTGTAGATGTTCACCAGATACAGGCCAGAGATTCCTCAGTGCTGGAGTGCTTTTGTAGCCTGGGTGAGGCCTGACGACAGTTCAGTCACCGTCACTGCCACCTCCCCTCAGCGTAAGTTTACTAACACTCAGTGTACATCCTTGGGGTCCTATGCCTGTTCCTTTTACTAATGTAGTGAATTACATCAGTTGATTTTCTGATATCAAGCCACATTTGCTTTCCTGGGGAAAAAGAAAAAGCTCATTTTAGCTAGGTGATGGTGGCATATGCCTTTAATCCCAGATCTTGGGAGGTGGAGGCAGGCAGATCTCTGAATTTGAGGCTAGCCTGGTCTATAGAGCAAGTTCCAGGACAACCAGGACTACACAGAGAAACCTTGTGTTTGGGAGGACAAAAACAAAAAAACTTTATATGGAGGAGATGCATTACTACTGACTTTGCTTTGTAAAATTTTACCTGGATCTTACATTTGTTTTGAGACAGAATCTTTCTTTGTAACTAGGCTGGCTTTAAATTAAATTCAAGTGGTTCAGACTCGCCTGGAACTTGTGGCAATTCCCATGTCTGAGCATCCTTAGTTCTAGGATAAGCTCTTAATTATAGTATGTGCTACCATCCCACTAACCTGTTTTTAAATGCTGCACATTTTTTTGTTTTCTTTGTTGGTAGTGGTGGGTTTTTGTTGTTGTTGGTTTTTGGTTTTGTTTTTTTTTGATACAGGGTCTCTACATAGCCCTGACTATTCTTGTAGACCAGGCTGACCTCAAACTTATAGACATACACCTGTCTCTGCCTCCCAAATGTCTTTTCCTCTTTTGCCAGTTTCGTCATGATTCTGGGAAATCTTCCTTAGCCTTTAGAGTGAGTAACAGCAACACATTACACTCCATGAGGAGCCTGCACAACTCCCACAGCTGCAGAAACCAGATCATAAAACATACACCATTTCCCCATTTCCTGTAAATAGAATAGTATAGAATAGTAAAATAGGGAACCTCTTCCTTCCGAGACGGGAAACAAGATTGTTTAATGCTATTATTTAAACTTATTATTTAATGCCATGCCTGAAATCTCACACAGAGCAATAAGATAGGGGCTTGAAAGTCAGGCAGCTGATAGGGGCAATGTGGGCAGACTGGGGAGATGTTTGTATTGTCAATCTTGAGTATTTCCATATCTGAGCCGCTACTGCAGGGAAGCCTGTGGGAAAGAGGTAACCACTCGATTATGTGTGATGCAGATCCATCTGTTTGACATCGATGTTCCTGGGAAAATTACATTTCAAGAATCTAAAACATTGAGTCCTGGTGATAGTCTCTCCACATTTGATACTCGTACGTACCACATAAGTTTGCCTCTTACAGTAGTAATCCCAGAAAAGAGCAGGTACTTTTCCTTTTATGTCTGTCATCAACTCTTTCATATAGCCTTACTAGAAGTTCAGAATGGAGGAAAGCAAATAGTCAGAGATCTAGAAAGTTTGAACAGAATGGAAACCCAATGTTTTGACATGATACTTCTTTTCCATTGGGTTACAGCCTCCTCGCTATAGCATCCAGAGTGTTCCTGTTGGACCACGATTGATACACCCTACTTAGATAATGTAGATTACTCACAAGGAACGTCCCATAGCTGCCCTGAGATGATGTCCCAATAGGATTGAACATACAAATTGTCTCTGTGTAGGAGTTCTGTGTTAATTCTTCCCTGTCAATGTTCTGTGATCAGAGGTTTACCCTTCTGCCCCATGCTACAGGAGACTCACTTCTCATGTGTGCATCTTCTGTTTGGAAACAGCTTACTGCAGAGTGGGCCTGGGCATCTGCTACGATATGCGCTTTGCAGAGCTGGCACAAATCTATGCACAGAGAGGTGAGACAATACTACAAATGGGTTAGGAAGCTCCTGGGAGGTCTGATTCTGGGATGGTCCTGTGGCAAGAAGGGAGCCCTTAACAGAAAATTGCTCAAAAAAGAAAATCACAAAACATTTACACAAATGCCCAAAATCTCAGATGTAAAGTGTTAATGTATTGTTCATGTCCAGCTCTTCCCCACCGGTTTGCTAAACAGACTTCTGCTGATGATATGGTTTGAGGGGATGTGGCCTCATATACTGTGTAGCTAAGGCAGAAGCTTGCTCCCGAATATCCTCTCTGCCCTTTGAATCCCTCCTATCACTGTGTTGTTATGTGGAGCCCGCTGAAAATGGAGCAGTGGTCTGTGCTCTCTCCAATTTCAGTCCTCACATACAGACTTTGCTGTTTGTAAAATAGAATAAGCCAAGTCAGGAGACCCTAGTTCTGGTTCTTGCTTCTTGCCCTTAGTCGGCACAGCACTTTGATCAATCATTTTCCCTCTCTGAAGAGGTGTGGGTTCTAATTCCCTCCGAACTGCTCTGAGGGAGGATTAAGGAGACACTTACAAAGCACGTCTGGCATTCAGCACATCCCAGTAACCTGGGGGTGGTTACTAGGCTGGAACCGTTGGCACTTAACTAAGTGCCATGGTCTGGATGATCTGAGAGCTGTTTAGCAGATGAGGTGTGTGCATTCTGGGCTTCACAGCATCTGGAGCCGTATTATTCCAGTCACTCGGAAGATCACATCACACACTTTTCCACTGTGTGGTGCTGACCTTTTGGTGTTGAGCAACATGTTGATTACAGCTTTACTTTTTAGAATGGAAGCATAAGTTCTGATGTCAGCCATCATCTCATTTTCTTCTGCCTGTATTTTATAGGACTAGCTCTATACTTTTACATAAAGAGCTGTATTTGACTGTTTTACTAGACTGATCTCTTTTGTATATGGAAAAGTTTGTTTGGCTCTGTTGGATAAGGAATAAAGGGAGGGACCAGAGTCCTCGAGTGTTCACTGTTGCTTTTTGTCTTTCACGCCTGGAGGCTGTCAGCTCTTGGTGTATCCTGGAGCATTCAATTTGACCACTGGACCAGCCCACTGGGAGTTACTCCAGCGAGCCAGGTAAGAAAGGACCCAAGCATCTCACTGCCTTAAATGGAATTCTGCCCTTGACCCAGCCAGCCTTGGCATCCAAATGCACTTAGAACAGATGAATCTTCAGAGAGCTCTGCTGGGTACCAACTCTGATGCCATAATAGTGCCCTCAAAAGATGCTCGGGTTAAAGGGCCATGCCACCATCGCCATTCCTGGTTTATAAGATCAGTTTTAGATTGTACATAGGTCTCTTTTTCTTTTTTCCTTTTGTGTGTGTGTGTTTGCACACATGTGCGCATGTTCTTGAACTATTTCACGAGCCTTGTGACATCTAGTTCCATCCATTTGCAGTGGCTAAATGCCATTCTGTCGTACATAGGTACGATCTCTACTCGTCAGCTAAGACACAGGGTATTCTCATTTCTTGGCTGTGGTGAATAGCCCAGCATACTGGGGTTCATATGGTTTCTTTTCATGTGCTGTTCCATTTTGCTTGGGTTTATAACTTTTAGTAGGATTTCTGGAGCACATGTTGTCTATAACTTTTGGAGAACTGCTTTCCACAGTGGCTGTACTAACCTGCAGTCCCACTAGTGGCCTTCTCCACACCCTCGCCGGGATTTGTTACCCTTAGGCGTCTTGATACCAGCACTGGAACTAGAGTGAGGCATGGTCAGCATGATTTCCAGTTGCATTTGCCTGAGAGCTAGTGATATTGAGCATTTTAAAACATTCATGTTGGCCATTTGTGTTTGTCAGCTGTCTATCATATAAAGAATGTAGGATGGGAAATTTATCTTGGTTCTATGTGCAGACGTTTCATTTCACACTTGACTAGAGTGTCGTCAAGGCCTTTTTATCCCAGGCAGAAAAAAAGAGGCGGGGCTGGAGTCCACATGCTCTTCAAGGGCTTCTCACTTCCTGTAGTTACACACCTCCCTTCCCAGCTGTGGGCTGAGGTCAGATGGCCCTGTGGTGGACATTCGGGCTCTGAATTTTAACACCATGTGGGGGCTTCTTTTTAATACCTATTTAGCCCTGATGCTCTCCCACTAAGTAACCCAGGCTGACTTGAACTTTGTCTCCTCTAGTTTCAGCCTCCTGACTAGTGGCGTTACAGACACGCTTCACCATATTTTGATTTTTTTTTTGCCATTATCAAACTGGGTTATCTTGTGATATTGAGATTTTAAGAGTTGTTAGTACATATTTGTATATATTTCTCCATTCTGGAGGTTTTCTTCCCATTCTTGGTACCTTCATTTGCTATATGGAAGCATCTTTTTTTGACATAATCCCATGCGCCTAGTTTTGTGTTTGTGTCTTATTCCCCAAAATTGTTGCTCATTCTAAGGTCCAGAAGCCTTTCTCTGTTTTCTGCTAGTGTTTTTATTGTTTCTGTCTTTTTTAAAAAAATAACCGCATACACTTGGGAAGAAATACATTGCAGGTTTACAATGTGTAAGGTATTTGCATTCTGTCTGTTGAATACAGGGCTGTTGATAATCAGGTGTACGTGGCTACAGCCTCTCCTGCCCGGGATGACAAAGCCTCGTATGTGGCCTGGGGACACAGCACTGTTGTGGATCCTTGGTGAGTGTGGTGGCTGAGCTCGGCTGGAAATTGAAAGACGACACAGGATCACCTCCTCTGCAACTGCTCCTCCCTTTTACGCACATATTCCGCCGGCTTTGAGGAGGCTTTCACTTGCACTCCACATGAGAAAGAAACAGTCCTGCTTGCCAGATTGAGTCCTTGGCCTTTGTCCCCTTCTGCTTGTCTTGGCAGTCATACAAAATAAGTAAAGCAGCAGCAGTGGGGTAGGCAGTTGGTTTAGTAAGACATTCCAGAATTCTTAGTTAGTTTTTAGCTAAAATTTAGGCTGAATGACTGGTCCCACGATAGGAATGAGAAACTAGGCAAAAACATCACTCCCCATGTAATAATTAGAGACAGGAATCTGTGGGTTTCGATCCTTTCACAGGGTGTCATCAGATACCCTGTATGTCAGATATTTATATTATTAATGATTCCTAACAGTAGTAAAATTACAATTATGAAATAGCAACAAAAACAGTTTTATGGCTGGTTGGGTCACCATAACATAAAGAACCATATTAAAGGGTTGCAGCATTAGCAAGGTTGAGAACCATTGCATTAGAGAAAACTAGCAGTCTGTCCCCTGTGAAAAGGTAAACCATTTACCACTATATGAACATAACACATCTGCCCATTATTAGCGCAGTTGTTTCCCCATGGACAGCTCACATGGTCAGTAACTGCAGGTGTAAGATTACAGTGTATGTTTACACATAGGATTTCAACTTACATGTGACCTTACTACAACTTTGGATGTCAAAAGCTGACTTTAGTCTATGGTACTTCTGTGTATGTACTCACACACAGAAGCATTTCTACAAATTTCAGGATAGACCAGTCAGCAAAGCAAGAGTTTAAAGTTTAAGTTTCCCTAAGGTGTCCCAGAGGATTCCCCCAGTGTGCTGTGTAGAGGCTTCACAAAATGTGACTGACAACTGATTCTCTAGAGTTCCACACACCAGGGTTTAAGGACATTGGAGAACTGGGTCAGATTGGTTTCTGTCGTGTTCCTGTCTAGATGCTAGTGACAGCTCTACAACCAATCCTCCTGTGCTCTACCCTTTAATTTCATCTGAAGAGTTTTGGTGCCCCAGGCCTATGCCGACAATGAGGTGATGGGTGCCCGGAGTTACATAAAGAACTTTGAATTTGGCAGGACAGGTGGGTGGGAGTTAGAACATAAAGTATTTAACCAAATGACATTAATGCATTGGTAGTTCATCCTTTCCAGGAGTTTGTGGCTATCAGGTAAGTACAATCAGTGATACCAGGTGGTTTGTTATGACAAAATATTTTGCAAATAAATCGTTTCTCTAGATGTGTTTTTTAGCCCCTGAGCTGGGCCAAAAGGCTGGATACTGGGAATACTTTTCTAGATTAGCCTTCCCCTGGTCTTTTGAAGGGCTGTTGTTCCTGCTAGCATATAGACCCTTACCTCTTTTTTTTTTTTTTTTTTTGATGGAGGAAGGGTTTCAAGAAAGGGTTTCTCAGAAGCTCTTGGAGCCTGTTCTGGAACTACCTCTTGCAGGCTGGCCTCGAACTCAAGAGATCTGCCTGCCTCTGCCTCCTGAGTGCTAGGATTAAAGGCATGTGCCACCACCCAGCCAACCCTTACCACTTTTACGGTCTAGTCTTATCCCTCCAATCTGAAACCGAAACTCATTAGCATAGGGAGCCAGGGATCTCAGCCACAGGGTAGAGGTGCTAGTACAGTGGTTCTCAACGTTCCTAATGCTGAGACTTAATTCCTCATGTTGTGGTGACCCAACCATAAAATCGTTTTAATTACTACTTAATAACTAATTTTATCTGTCTTCCTATTGTCTTAGGTGACCATTGTGAACAGGACATCAAATCCTAAAGGGCTAACGACCTGTAGGTTGAGAACCCTAGTAGACCAGGCCCAACCACACTACCAGCAGATGTGGCAGCAGCTGGGAGGGCATGAGGAACTGATGGAGACCCTCCTTGGCAGTTCCTATTGATTACTGGTAGCTCCTCTCCCACTTATAATCATAGACTAGCTATTGTTTTCTAGCAGTGCAGTTTACTAAATATATTCCATACTTTTCCCCACTAAGCCTCACAGGGCTCTTATTTCCACAGGATGTGCCTGCCACAAGTTCACAACATAATAGACCCTGAATTGATACTGTTTTCTTGTTTTAGATCTTAGAATCTCTTGTTAGACAGAGGAAAATACTGAGAACTTGATTACCACCTGGTGTCAGTGAATCTCAATCTATTCTTCATCTCCTTCAGGGGACAGGTCCTGACCAAAGCTGGCACTGAGGAAATGATCCTGTACTCAGACATAGGTAAGACCTGCACGGCTGTGGTCTAGGTTTCTGGTGTCTCCACAGCCAAGGCCACATGCTGCAGCTGGTCTCTTGGAAGGGTTCCACTGTGTCCTGTCTTCTATCCTGGCTGGTTCTGAGGACAAGCTCTGGGGCTCTGCCTCCCTGGGCTTTCTTTGAATTGACCCCAAGACCAATGCCAGGTCAATAGCATCCAGACAAGGCCAATGTTGCCGACGATTCGTTTGTTTTTAGTTTGCAGAAGAAATCTCATTGATTAGTAAGGAGTTGCAAATTGTTCATCATGCATGCTCCTGTTTTTGCAGACCTGAAGAGGCTGGCTGAAGTTCGGCAGCAAATCCCCATTTCAAAACAGAAAAGAGCAGACCTTTATGCAGTGGAGGCAAAGAAGCCCTGAAGTTTGTGTCTGACATGTCTCTATACTCATATACACTATATGACGATCAACTTTACTAAATCTCTTTTTGGACAGTGCTGGTAATTGACCCCAGTCTTACACATGTTAATTCTTCCACTGATATGTATCAGAACCCCCTCACTGAATTAAAAATTTTCTTTAAATCTGCTTGGTAACAATGTTCCAGCTCCTCTGATAAACAACTACTTAGGCTGGTGGTTCTTGGGCATTTCAGTCTTAAGACCTTTTTCACAATACAAACTGAAGAGTGGGCTGGTCATGGTATGATACTCAGCTGTCTGAGAAAATGTACTTTAGTAGGAACACTGATTTTCATGGTGCTAATATCCCATCAACATGACATTTTCAAAATATTTTTATTAAAATTATTTTCATACAATATTTTCATGTTTTCCCCCTTCCCACCCATCCAACTTTGTTCTTTTTTCAAAAACAAAAAAACCTCTACAAAAATAAAAATCAAAACAAACAAGCAAAAGGCCAATAAGACAAATAGAAAAAAAAAAAGTACAGACACACAAACCAATGTAGTTTAACATGCCACTTCTAAACAGTAACAGATGTGCAGTGGGCTCTGTGACTTGTATGGACAACACTGCTCTAACACACGGCTGGTTCAATGCATGTTATTTACCATACTGGTAAATCAAAACTTTTAATATCCAAATATTATATACATATATATATGTATATAGTCTATTATTGTGTTTACTCACAGAAGAGTAACATCTTTTAAGAATGAAATATATGATTTGGTAAAATTTGGTACACAAATACAACTATAAAATACCAGTCAAGAAAGCAAATATGTGTACTACCACCAGAAGTTTCCTTATAAGCTTTAAAAATACGTACTCGTGTCCGTCTGTGCGCTGTGTGCAGGTGCTCTTAGAGAACGGAAAGCAATAAGCACTCTTAATCAGTGGGCCATCTCTTCAACCTTTCCCTATAATCTTGTAACCTCTCTAGCTATTCAATCACTGATAAGCTTTACCCCCATAGAGTACTTTGAATTTTCTAGAATTGTGCAACTTGGTGCTTTCATTGATAGTTTATCTTACCTATGTATGCATCAGTGATCTAGTCCTTGTTGATGAACATTTGTGTTCTTCCTGGCTTTCAAATGAAAGAGATAGAAACAAGGTTTTTCATGTCTAAAGGAGTGCAATGGTGGGCTCAAGTATCTGTCACTGTCACTGTTTTCCAAAGCAGTCATCCCATTTTACACTGCTACCAACAACTGTATGAGATCTAGTCCCCTATTCCCTTTCCTCATTATCACTTAGTATATATTTTCATTATGCTTTCCCTTTTTGGAGATGGTGTCTTATGTAGCCTCCACTGGCCATTACACGAGTCTCCCCAGTGCTGGGATTATAGGCACAATGTCATGACTAGCTTCTTCACTATATTTATTTCTCGGGCTGGTGAGATGGCTCAGTGGGTAAAAGAACTTGCTTTGCAGGCCTGATAACCTGAGTTGAATCCATGGAACTTATGTGGAAGAAGCCAATTTTGGAAAGTTGCTTTCCACATGTAGGCCTCATACAATAAGAAAAAAAAGAAGAAAATTGATTTAATGACTTATACTAACATCCTTTCATGTCTATCTTTGGTGATACCATATTTTTATGGCTTTACTTATTCTCAAGTGTTAAGTTGCTTATATATTTTGATATAAATTCTTTGTCAAGTATTGTTTGATAGTCTCCTACCCTGGGGGGGGGATGACATTTACCCTTACCCACACTGGGGATTAAATACAAACCTCACATGTTAAACGTGCTCTTTCCCACACAGTTGCAATCTCACCCATTCTCATTTCATTATTTTGTATCTTGCTATGTGATTTTCCTGTAAATGCCTTCTGAATGCTGAGATTACAGGCTTCTGCCACCATGCCAACTAATTTTCATTTTTTAAAGAAGGATTATTTGAAGAACAAACATCATGCATTTTCATGAAGGTTAAGTTTTTTTTATTCCTTTAAAATGATTATTTATATGTATTTATTCTGCCTGCACGCATGCTTATGCAGCATACGTGTGTCTGGTGCCTGAGACCAGAAGTAAGTTATCTGGTCTCCTAGAATAGAATTACAGGCAGTTTGTGAGCTGCCACATGGGTAGAGTCCTTGAAACCAAACCTCTCCAATCCTCCCTTATTTCCTTTTGAAGTTTGTCCTTTTTCTGACTTTATTTGGTGTCTTCTGATGTTTGTGGCTTTAGCTTCCATTCACAAGTTCTCTCTATGGTTGAGAACTACAATTACACTCTTGGAGAAACAGTATGAAGTGAGCCCCACAGCATCATCTACCAGGTGGTTCCCAGGCTGCTATGCAAGTGTAAGACAAAGGATGAAGGAGGGTTCTTCAGTTACTGCTCTCCACAGAGCTTTGCTGCACTGTTACAGGGAAGTCTCTGGATTTCCCAATCACACCAATAAAACTTGTATATGCCTATCTCCAAAGTTAGTTTGAAACAAGAGACTGACTGAAAGTTAATAAATGAACAAACTACCTATCTCTCTGCTACAAGAATAGATAGAAAAGCTTGAATGTAGTATTTATTTTGTGAATTTACATGTGAAGCCATTTACAAAAGAAAAGATACAGACAGATGCAGCTTTCAGTGCAGTTTCAAATATGTTCACAACAGGCAAAAAGTTTGTGAGTATTTGGAATGACAGTACTGAATGGCACATGCTTCATGTTTCCTACCCATTCCCAATAAAGAAGGGAGTAGAGTAGAAAATGTCAGTATTAATGTAAATACAGCCATGCAAATAAAAACTTTTTAAGTGAAGAGGTCACATTCAGAGATGTAGGACATTTCTGTATTTAGGGTTGCCATCACTGGATAATTATTTCAGAACAAAATGAAGAGCGCTCCAACTTTCCATTATCCCAATCAATCACCTTAAATCATATTAACTGCCCCCACTGAAATCAGCCACAGGCTTACCAATATTGTTCAAAGACTATATAAGAGGAATCAGTCATTTCTAATAGTTTCTAAAAAGACAGCAATTGTAGTGAAAATCATTTTTGGTTTCAGTGGGATAAAGCACCCTTTTAAATAAGAGTGTAAAACTGTAAAATATTCCTTTACTCTCAACAATGTAAACTATAATTAGACTTCATGTCCATACACCTTAACAAACTTGCTTTTTTAAAATATCTTTTCATGTAAATAAACCTCTACATGGATCTTAGAAACAGACTCAGCAAGAACACGTCCCCCCCCCACCGCCACACACACACCAGAAAATCCAGCATATAAATAAGCAAAAGGAGAGTCTGTGAAAGTGATGGACACAACTGTAGTGATTCCAAAGAGAGATGAGGTACAGATAAAAATGAACAACCAAAGTAAAGTCAGCTGTCAGTGTCCCCGGAGATGTGGACGCAGACCATCAGTCCTCAGAGGTCAAACTTACCTCAATACAAAAAGTACTCTATATACCGGACCTCTGAAAATACTGGCTCAACATCCCTTAAGTTAATACAGTCACAGCTAAAGCACTGAACTTGTCATTCCAAAAGAGTATGCTCTGGCTCCAGGACTGACATCTTTTTTGAACCTTATCATATTTCTGTCACTAGAAAACTTAAACTAATTAAATATTCCTATATATCATAACATGTACTCCATCTGTATGTGGGTTGTTCACATACACCCACTCTCCTTAAAAAGCATACTATTAAATAATCTTTACTATGGAATAGGCACAAGCAATTATATACACGTCTCTTTCATCTTACCTTCCTTGTTCAGCCTCTCATTAATAGTCTTCTTGTACAAGTATCAATCAGAATATTTTTGCTTCTGCATAATTTTCTAAAGTACTACAGAATCAGAGGCACTGTGCATGCTGACAATAGCTTAAGTCTTTCAATTTTACTGAAAACCATATTGAAGCTTTTCATCCTTCAAAAAAAATTAAAAAGAATGAATATAAAAGAAGTCTATTTAACAGCACTTACCATGTTAAAGACCAACACACTATAAAACACTCATATATTATACAAACAGCTATAAAAAGAAAATCATTCAGAACATAATCCCCACCCCAATATAAAAAAAAAAACAAATCAACAAATCAAAGTTTTTATTTGCATGGCCAATTACTGTTTGTATTCTACAAGTTTGTTTTAATATCCCTTTAACATATTCTAAGCTTTTGTAGCATAGGGAATAAAAGCTGCAAGACTGCAAACTTCCTTCAACAGCCACGCCCACAACACCTAAACATGAAACAGATGTAATGAATGACAACATCACAAAGGGAATACTAGGTTCCACCATTCAACACAGTGTCATGACAGTGTCTTCAGGGTTCAGTTGAAGAGGGGGTAAACTTCTTTTAAAAAGAGTCAGTCTGCTTTCCCCTTGGTTTTATAAGGTCGGCGGTTTTAATCCGTATTTCTTTGCTACTTCTGTCTGGGCATGGGCAGCATCACAAAGTGAATACAGATGAGCCATCTCCATTTCCGATTTGGCCAGGTTGATAGCTTTGTTGAACATGTCAATGGCTTTCTCCATGTTTCCTCTAAAAAAACAAAAACCGCAAAATGTCAAAGATTCCTTAACAAGCACTTTTCAATAACCAATAGTCTGTGTTGCACAAAGCATTCAACTATAATTTAATAAAATGTTTCTTTCATAATATACCAGAGTGCCTAGCACAGCACACTGCAAGTATCAAAGAATTCTAACTATTCTTAAAAAATACTATTCTATTCCCATTCTGTAGGCTATCATTTTGTTGACCATGTCCTTAGACAGAGATCTGATCTCCAAAATATACAAAGACCTCAAGAAACTGGTCATCAAAAGAACACATAATCCAATAAAAAAAAAAAATGGAGTTCAGCCCTAAACAGAACTCTCAACAGAGGAATCTAAACTAAAATGGCTGAAAGACACTTAAGGAAATGCTCAACATCCTTAGCCATCAGAGAAATACAAATCAAAACAACTCTGAGATTTCACCTTACACCTGTAAGAATGGCCAAGATCAAAAACCACAGATGACAACTTATGCTGAAGAGGTTATGGGGAAAAGGGAACACTTCTGCATTGCTGGTGGGAGTGCAAACTGGTACAACTCCTTTGGATGTCAGTGTGGCGATTTCTCAGAAAATTAGGAAACAACCTTCCTCAAGACCCAGTAATACCACTTTTGGGTATATATCCAAAGGATGCTCAATCGTGCCACAAGGACACAGCTTTGTTTGTTATAGCCAGAACCTGGAAACAACCTAAATGCCCCTTGACCGTAGAATGGATGAGGAAAATGTCAATGGAGCACTTCACCGCAGAAAAAAATAACGACATCTTGAATTTTGCAGGAAAATGGATGGAGCTAGAAAACATTATTTTGAGTGAGGTAACCCAGACCAAGAAAGACAATTATCACATGTACTCACTCATAGGTGGTTTTTAAAAATAAAGAAAACCAGCCTACAAATCACAATGCCAGAGAACTTAGACAACAATGAGGACACTAAGAGAGACATACATAGATCTACATGGGAAGTAGAAAAACACAAGATCTCCTGAGTAAATTGGGAGCATGGGGACCTTGGGGGAGGGTTGAAGGAGAGAGGGGAGAGGCAGAGAGAGGAGCAGAGAAAAATGTAGAGCTCAATAAAAATTTTAAAAAAATACTATTCCATATTATTTTGTATTCTTCATTTAAATACAGTGAGCCTAGAGCAGTTATTATTTAAAAATCACAACTCTTCCTGGATCCTAAAGTCTCCATGTTACTGCTCAAATGTGAGGCTCATGGAAACAGCCTCAGAGAACACTAGCAGCCCTCAATGGCTGGACCTTCATGGACTGGGTAAGTCCACACTCCTATTACCTCATCTCTAACCCCCAAATGCTCAAACCTGTGAGCTTCTATGCAGTTACAGGTCAATCTCAGTTCCTCAATCAAGCCAACCGTGATCACAAAGATCCCCAACTATCGCCTCTGCTTAACTCTGGTCAAATCCTTGCCTTCTAGAACCCACTTCAAATACGATTTTACACAAAATATTATCCTACCTTCTCTTCCCAGGAGAATTACCCACTTTATTCCTAATATTCCCCAAAGTCCTATTATCCCTGTATACATAGGCAGACGAGTGTTCGTACCATCTCGTACCATGTATCTCACTGATGGAAATCTTTCAGGTCCTATAACTAAAAAATGGATGAACATGCTATAGCTAACAAAGTTTACCTCTTACGTTTATGTGTAGCTAGGTTTTACAGTTACTAAGAAACAGCTGTTTAGGAAAACTATGCATGCATGCATGTGTAGGTGTGTGTAATCCTGCAACTAAAATCAAAAGTCAATACTATACAACTGTCAGTTAGACTGCCAAGGTAACCCGTATTTAACTTCCTACAGCATATGACTAACACAATGAACTACTTTAGAAGTTTATAAGGGGCTGTTTTTGCAATAGCTAGAAGAGCTACGAAATATTAGCAGAACCAGCAGTATTAATCATTTGCTTTTAAGGTAAGACTTACAATGAACTCTTTCTTTTTAATGAGACAAGATTTCTAGCTCAGCCTTATCTAAAACTCCCAGTGCAGCTTAGGAGAACCCTGAACTTGTCTGATCCTTCTGCCTCAATGTCCAGAGTTCTTTCAGAATCTGTCCCATGCCCAGCTGTAGTGCTGGGGAATGGACTCAGCTTCAGGCATGCTGGGCAATCACTCTATCAACTAAGCTCTATCCCCAATGGACTTTTTAAGTACAATTGAACTCATAAAATTCCCTCAACCACCATCCACTTAAGACAATGTCTATGAAGACTTTAAATTAAATGTTTTTTACAGGCACCAATGTAAGAATTTAGAGCTTTGCTCAACCATAATTAGGAATCACTCTTCTATTCTATTCTAGTAAAGCACTACTTTATTTGCAATAATAAATTAGTAATTAAGAAATGATATTTGTATATACCTGCCATCAGAAGAACCACAAATGTTTTGTCAGTCTTTTGGAGGAAAGAGAGCCATAGAGAGAAGGGACTAATAAGAATTAAGAGGACTTATGCTAACTCCTGACAAGTGATGGTGGGGATTTGTCACCTTGACAGCAATGAAGTATGGACTCAAATCTTGTTCTCACTAATGTCTCAGTGTGAGCTTGTTGGTCTAATCAACCTGAGCATTTGTTTCTATACTCTTAATCCTATATTGCAATCATTAAAAGGCCACCAGAAGCAAAATTTGGAAGATACTCAAGTTCCGTATTTGGTCTAGAATACATACTGGAGGAAATACCAGTATTAAGATACGGTATAGTCTGCTACATACATAGCTACCAAGATTAAATGTAGATCTTAAGTGCAACTCTTGGTAAATATTTACACAAAAGAAAGAAATGAGAACTGTAAAAATTTCAATCAAACCAGAGTTTTTTTAATGAAAATTCAGAAGATGTTGCAACTTGACCAGTTTCTCGGCTGGTTGCTTCTTTGTTGTAGAATACAGAATCCACTTCAGTCTGGCTATCTATTTCCTGTTACTGACACTGATTAAACCATGTTTCAGGTGTTTGTCTTCGTACAGGTACAATAAAAGTGAAAAAGGAACTCATACACAATACATAAAGAACCAGTTTTACTTGCTAAGTAATAAGCATGACAGCTTTTATAAGTGTAACTTTTAATCTGAAAAAAAATAATGAAATGAGGCAAATTCAAATCCCCTAATTTCATCAAAGTTCAGCAAATGAACATTCAATGAAGATTGGCTCATAATCAGATGTATGTAATGAGAACAAAACCCAAAAATTGAAGGTGCTTCATTACATTTCTAAGAATAGACTCTACAAGTTACCTCTGTACTTCAATGGTTCCCATGGTTTCATATGCAAAATCACATTTGTTGTCAATCTCAATAGCTTTGCTGATAAGCTCCAAACCTTTATCCAAATCTTGTTTCCATTGAAGTTGAAGTAAACTGGAAATGCAAAAAAGGGCAGAAATATAAATATATGATTTGGTCTCTGCCCTCAATAAACTTGTAATTTAATTCTCAAGCAAAAGCAAAGACTAAAGCAGAAGACAATCAATAACACCCCCAGAAGCTTTGGGCCCCGACTTCTGATGTGGAAGTGCACAGCCACCGATTATCATAAAGTAAGGATCCAGTCTTTTTTGTCTCCTTATTTCTAAGAAACAGAGACAGCTGACTGTCTGTAAATACCAAGAGTGGTTTACCTGCTTCCAAGCCCCTAACCTCTCTCCCTTCCACCCTTGTCCTGGAACCAGTCCTGTTTTTAGCTTCTGGCAACAGGTCCAGAGGAACTGTGTGTTTGGGTCTCATTTCTTGTCTCTTTTCTACTCTGGCACTGGCAGATTTCTAATATATAGTCAACCTGTGGTCTCAGCTGTGTTTGGTTCCACTTCATGAGAATAAAAAGTATGTTAGACACGCTGCCAAAAAACTGTCCTGCAAATTGAGGTTTTTCCCTTTACAGTAAAAGTATAAACTATTTTATCAATACAAAAAAACCTTATTACATTATTTTCAATTTATTGAACATATTACAAATTCTTTAAATAATCTGATACAATCATTTCAATAAATAATACTTATTTTATAGCCTTTACATTTTTCCATTTATGTTTATGTGTGTTTCTGTGATTGTCTGACAGTAGAGGCCAGAAGAGAGTGTCAGAAGCACTGGAGCTGGAGCTGCCTGATGACATAGATGTTGGGAACTCAATTTGGGTCCCCTGGAAAATAAGATTGGCTTCAAACTCAAGATCCTTCTGCCTCAGCTACAACAACATATACACACAATTACAAATTAGTTTTGCAGATGGTCATAATTGTATACACTTTAATCCCAGCATTTACAAGGCAGAAGGAGGTGATCTTTATGCATTCAAAGTCAGCCAGGACTATATAGTGAGACTGTCTCCAAACAAACACATATAAAACTTGCATTTCTGTCTGTCTGTCTGTCTTTCTTTCTTTTTGTTTTTTGAGACAGGGTTTCTCTGAGTAACAGTCCTGGCTGTCCTGGAACTCACTCTGTAGACTAGACTGGCCTTGAACTCACAAGGAACCACCTGCCTCTGCCTCCCAAGTGCTGGGATTAAAGATATGCTCCACCACTGCCTGGCTCCAAACTTGCATTCCTAAGAGTCTGCCACAATGTACTATAATTAAAATGATTAGTTTCCTATAATTAGTCATAGTAGAAATATTATGAACTTACAAACTATTGGTAAATTTGAAAAGTAAAATAAGAAATGTTTATCTAAAAGGCACCATTAGGTTGTATGTATAACAGAACAATTTACAATCAATGTTTACAAATATTATTTAATAAATAAATCCTTTTTAATTGGGGAAGCTGACATAGACACCTGACCACCTCTCAGACAAGGTACAAAGTGAGGATTGACACCCAAATTGTCCTCTCATGTCCACCATTGCAAGTGTGTATACACATTCACACATGCACACATATCACATACTCATATGCACGAAGATTGAAAAATCTACATACTGTAAGAAATTTATCATTTAATTCATTGATATGTCTACTCTGAATCATTTCTGTAAGGTTAAAAGAAATATTTTATTACTGTGAAAGAAATTTAGTGTCTTATTGGAACAACAGAACCAGAAAAATACATACCCTTTATGAACATAAGTTGTAGCATTATCTGGTTCCAAATCAATACATTTATCATACATTTCATCAGCTTTACCAAACTGTTGTTGATCTGTTAATGCCTATGTGAAGAGAAACTTCAGTTATATATATTAATGTAATTGCTAATCTGGAAATTAAAAGTATACTGCTTATTAAGTATTAAAAGTTTATTATTTAACCATCAAATTACTGCTTGAAATTAATTTAAGTCAGTTTAAATTTTACATCTTAATTACTCAAGTTTTTAGATTGTACCTACTATAAATGAGATCCCAACTGTCCTCTCTTCTCATGAATAGTTAAATGAAACCAAGGAGTCTGGGAAACTGAATAATACAGAGGGGCTACTTGTAATGAAACCTATGTCACCACACTTTCACAAGTCTACACTTGTACTCAGAATTTATCATACTAAGGGAATTTATCACATTAAGGGAATTAGTCTAAGGGCTAGACTCATTTCATAAGTGTACATTAACTATTACCAGATTTTCATGACTACCAGAGCGTATGAAGGCTTTAACTTGGAGATGTGCTAGCACCTAAGCCCTTGCTTTCAGAGTTAACACAATAACTGATACTGTATACCTTTCATAGAAGCTACAGAAAACAAGCCTTAGATTTATGTATGGATAAAGTCACACTAAAATGCTCAGTGAATTAATGCTAGTGCCGCTGTGAAGAGACTGTACAAATCAAACCCACTTAAAAGGGAAAAGACAAGGGTTTGATTTAGCTGCAGATCTTCCTGGTGCTAGCTGCACTAAAGGGTAGTCAGTGGTCTTTGCTTTCCTAGTTCCTAACAGAAATCTATCCAAAAAGAGTCCTGAATTCTACAACAAAGGATGGCTACTCTCCACTGTTTGTCTTAGTTTACCTCTGTATATAATTTTACACAGTGCATGTTCTTGCTCTCTCTCTCTCTTTTTTTTTTTTTGGTTTTTCAAGACAGTTTCTCTGTGTAGCCCTGTTCGTCTTAGAATTTGTTCTGCAGATCAGGCTGCCCTTGAACTCAGAGACTTACCTACCCCACTCTCCCCTCAACCCCCCAGTGCTGGGATTAAAGGTATGTGCCATTACTGCCAGGTTAGTGCATGCTTTTATAGTGAATTTGCAAGTGTAGTAAGCAACACTGCTTCATTTTTTATAAAGAACTGGAAGGAACTAGGAATAAAAAACCAACAACTTCTAGCTTGTTCCACATTCCAGATTATCAGTTGTTGCCCAGGGGCATGTAGGACACATTAGAAGAACAGCCCCACACAAATCAACCCCCCTCCTTCAATAAACCCTCCAAGTTTTTATGAAATGCCACTAAAAGCATGAAGAATAACAAGACGTGAAATCTTAAAAGATAGCAACTTTTTAATGTTTTCTATTTCTATGATATTTATGGGAAAGCTCTTGGGGTTTCCTTTTGTAATTGAGAAAAGAAGTTGGAATCTGAGAATGGTGACAAAGGCTCACAATCTAAGCACTTAGGCCAAGTCAGGAAGATTGGGTTGTAAAATAAGATCTTGTCTCACAAAAGGAAAACATAAATACAGAAAAGGCAAATTTTAGCTGAAAGACAAAGGGAAGAATTATTTACTAATATAGATGACTCAAAAATCAATGCTTTTAAGAATCTCAAATTAGAATAAAGCTAATTTGGGTTTAAATCATGCTTTCTATAGCTTCAACTCTAAAGCAATTTAAAGTTTCAAGAATTTTTAGCCAAGTTTCATGGTGTATACCTTTCACTTGAAAGGCAGAGAGGAGGGATCTCTATTTCAAAGTCAGTCTGGTCTATATAGTGAGTTTCAGATCAGTCAAAGCTACATAGAAAGGGGGGGATTTTAGACAGTGGCTGGAAAGATGGCTCAGTGGGTGAAAGTCCTGGCTGCTCTCCCAGAGAACATAGGTTTGATTCCCAGCACCCACATGATAGCTAACAACTACCTGTTACTCTAATATCAAGGAATTCTGGCTTGGAGTGGGGAGGGTTAGAAAGTTCTCACTTGGTAGCACATATATGACATTAGAACGTTCCAAAAAAGATTAATATGTTCTCCTGTGCAAGGATGACAGGCAGTGTCATTAAGTAAACAATTCTGAAAACTATTTTATTAATAGACTCAGAAAGACAAATATTGCATGGCCTATCTCATGTGTACATCCAAGTGTTGAATTTTTATGTGTTTATGAATGGGTATAAGTGTAGGTAAAAGTCATGAAACTAGAAAGAGGACCACTACTGTGTAAAAAGAGGTTCTAAGGGAGACAAGAAGGTAACAGAATACATGTAACATAAAAGCAAAAAAAAGTAACCAAGAAGGTGGAAGGAAAGAGCAAGAGAAAGATTAAGAAAAAGAAATTTAAAAAATTTAAAAAAAGAGAAAGAGAGAAATTATGTATGATGAAACTGGAAATAACTCATTACTTTGTATGCTAATTAATAAGAATCTTAAACAAAAAAGAGAAAATAAGCTGTTACAGCTTAGATAGCCATTTAAAGGGCTTTGGTCAAGCAAAAAGATCTCATACCAAGGATATTTTCCCTATCATGTAAGTAAAGGGTAAATTTTCTAAAGAAAATTACTTTTCCAATCCAGTCCTACTAAAAGCATGAGAGATGCTTGCCCAGAACTTCTCTGCCTTCTAAGCTTAGGATTCAGGACCATGCCATGGGCCTTGACACTCAAAAGCACGAACAGCACTGCTGCACCCACAGAAACTGTGCGATCAGGCTAGTACAGTTCCATACTGGGACCCAGTTTACAAATGCAGTCCTTAAAAAAACTGTTTATACTTACCTGGGCATAAAGTGCATAGCCTTCAGCACACCTTGGAAATTTCTTTATGACCTCTTCAAAACCTTTCATAGCTGCTTGGACTTGTGAAGAATTGTTTGCTGTATATGCCTGGCGATACTGTTTAAAAATCAGAACACTCAAGTCAAAGAGCTAAAAACACTTCTGGAATATTAACATAAAGAAGATACGGAACATTACAAAAGTGTTTCCAGAAAAGCAGGTGACCTGTTAATACAATTTGCTGTATCTAAGGAACAACTCAGCAGCAGAGAATCAAACACCATGTTGGGACTGCAGGTCACTCACTGGGTATCCTAAAGCAAGCAGAGGGACTCTTGTGGTCTTGGAATAGTTTGAATGAGGATGGCCCTCACAGTCATAAATAAATCTGAATGCTCAGTCCTCAGTTCTTTGGTGGGAATAATTAGGTGTAGCCTTATAGGAGGTGTGTCACTAAAGGTGGACTTTGAGGCTTCAAGGTCCAGTTTCTCTTCATCTCTCTCCTCTCTCCCTCCCTCCATCCCTCCTTCCCTCCCATGGATCAGATGTAAGTTCAACTACTGTTTCAGCACCATGGCTGCCTGCCTTCTGCCATGCCCCCTGACAGGATGACGATGAGCTAGTTCTTTCAGACCATGGCACCCAATTAAATGCTTTCTCTTCTAAGATGTTAAGTAAGCATATACATGGCGTAATTCTGATTTACTTTTCTGAAGTGCCAAAATTCAAAACAAGGACCTTATACAGGTTAAGCCTTCACATACTCTATCACCAAGCTATATCTTACCTACAGACTTTTCAATGTAGTTAATTTTATTTTCATCTTAAGCCTATTAACATTTGTTTATTTGTTAAAGTTTTTCAAGACAGGGTTTCTCTGTAGTTTGGGGGCCTTCCAGGAACTCGCTCTGTAGACCAGGCTGGCCTCAAATTCACAGAGATTCTACCTGCCTTCCTGGAACTCGCTCTGTAGACCAGGCTGGCCTCAAATTCACAGAGATTCTACCTGCCTCTGCCTCCTGAGTGCTGGGATTAAAGGTGTACGCCACCACCACCCGGCTCAACATAAATATTTATAACACAACTTTTTTTAAAGGGAAAATTATTTTAGGGCTAGCCATAGGGAAAGCATAAGCAGTTAAGTCATGTTGTGACTATAAATTATTTCTTAAAATTGTTTTTGAATCCTTTACACTAGTTTGTAGTAGAGAATCAATTCTGTTATAAACTCTGAGTCTGGGTGGTAGGGCTGCAATCCCAGCATGAGAAGGTGAGGCAGGAGGGTTGGGTGGCCATGGTCAACTATATATGCATTAACACGTATCAAACATCTTTTCTCCTTGAAATCACCATTTGAGAATGACAATGAGATGCTGCTCTTTTTTACTAAATACTAAAAAATACAAATGGTGCTTATTAAATTACAGGTGAAAACAGCACCTACCAGGGCAAAACACTTCTGAGCTTGTGCCAGAGCAAACTTGGGTCTTAATTTAATGCATGCATCAAAATCCGCCACTGCTTCTTCAACTAGATCCAGCAGAATTTTCAGCTAGGGAAGAACTCATAATTAAATGCAATCAGAATAGTAGGCTCAACATTTAAACTTGCACCATATTTCTATTCTGTTATAGTTAATGCTCAGCATTTATTAATTTATTCAACATAAAATTACTTTGCAGGAAAAAAAGTCATGATTCTACAACCTCAAAACTGATGTTTGATTTAAAAATAAAACATGATAATCCATTTTCCCTGTAATGTAATTTAAATAAAAAATAAGAAATGTAAAAACCTTAAGTGCCTCTCTACTTAATTTCAAATCAGGTTAGACTTTATATAATTATCATTCAATTAATTTCACTACACTAAAAATAAAGACGGAAATGGCAAGAATCTTTAAAATGTTATTTCAACACCATGTAACACCGTTCAGAAACATTGAACAAAATTCTCCCCTAGAAAGGACTTCAAGTCAGGTACATCTGTATTCCCAGTACAGGAGGACCGTGTGCTCAGATGAGCTTGCACAACAGGAGAGACTTAGGTCTAAAATAAATAAACAAATATTCATATTTTTAGTTGTTATAGAAACTGTTCTTCCCTTCCACTACACTGTACAGTAAGAAACCACAGTAAGCAAATTAGACTGGGTGTATTCTGGATATTTGGCCCCTGGAATGGTGTTGGGTAGTTTACAACTGCCTACCACTGCAACTCTAGTAGATCTGACACCTCTGGCCTCCCTGGAGGCCTACACTCCTGTGCACAAACTCCTACAGATATACACATGTAATTATAAAGAATTATTACAATGCTTACTAAGTGGGATTAGTGTTTATTCACTGAAACCTATAAACTAGGTACACTTAATAAACTAGCTCATCTGGCAAGCCCACATTTTTCCCTTTCTTCCACAAACCAAAATTATAATAAATATTCAAGATGTTAAGTAAATACAGGCCAATTCAATATACAAAACATTTAAACATAAAGAAATCCTGAAAAGTAGTTATCAAGTCATCGACCAGAATTCCAGGTAAGGCCAGATCTACCTGTCCTCGGTGGTGATAAACGTCTGAATTCTGAGGATCGATCTCGGCAGCCATGTTGAAATCCTGTGTAGATAGCATGGGTTGCTGCTGCTGCATGCACATGGTGCCTCTTTTGATAAGGGCGTTTGCGCGAAGCTACACACCCAAAATAAGAAAAAGTTCCTGTTAATTTTACAGTTCAATTTAGATTAAAAAAATTCTGTAATGCCTACCATAAAGTTCACCACTGAAAGACTATATGCAAATCTGTTAGTACATTAACTAAAAAGAAGATTGATCACTACAAATTTCAGAGCACTTTTATTATACCCAGAGAACACACACAAGCATAACGTTTCCAATCCAAATGCCCAGAAACCTCTTATCTCTAGTCTATTTCCTCACATTTGTACATCTGAAGTGTTTCATTGGGTTTTCATTTAGAATTTTCATTGGAGTGGCATGTATTAGCATTCTTCTTATGGCACGGTAATATTTAAGCAGAGATGCTACTAAATATATGGGTTATTTTTATCTTTTGACTATCATGATTAACATTCAGGTACACACATATCTTAAATTCCCTGGAAGCAGCAGTCATAGATTTCACAGCAACTATATGTTAACTTTTTGAAGGATTGCCAAACTAATTTCCAAAGCATCTTTACGACTCTTTAATCCACTACAGTAATGCATGGTTCCAATTTCCCTATATCCTTACCAGTATTTGGTATAATTCATGTTTTGTATTTATAGTCTTACTGCCTGTGCTTTCTATTTTTTAAAAAATAATTACTGTCATCAGACTAGGAATGAATGAAGAGGTACTTAAACAAGTTTGGGCTGGTGCTGCCCTAGCAGGTAGTGGTGGAGTACTTTTTCATGCTGTCATTGGTCATTTGTAGAATATTCTTTGGCGAATTGTTCAAATCTTTCATACATTTTCAGATTAGGTTCCATTTTTACTGTTGGGTTCTAAGCTTTTATTTTCAATTACAAAGGCTTTATCACATGAATGCTTCCTGAGTATTTTCTTCCATTCTTTGGAAGGTATTTTCAGTTTTCTGCTATTGTTCTTTCAAGTTCAGGCTTACTTTAAACTATCCTACAACCTCAATCACCCAAGTACAGGCCACCATGCCCAGCTCAAAAGCTGTTCTTTTCCTGTGTGTGCACACACATGCATGCACGAGCATCTGCCACAGAATGTGTGTGAAGTCGGAGGACAACTGGCTTGAGTCCATCCTTTCTTCTACCACACGGGATCGAGGAATAGGGCTGTCATCTCTGGGAGCAAGGTCATTACCTACTGAGCCATTTTGGTAGCACCTTTTTCTTTTTTGGAGTTGTATTTTAGGTTTCATATCTCAGAATCCCCTTCCTAATACAAGGTAACCTTGTATTATTGTATTATCCTATAAGGTTTTCTTGTGAGTTTTATTCTTAGTTCTTACATTCATGTTTCTGGTTCTTTTTGAGTTAATTTTTATACATGATGTATAATAGATATTATTGTTCCTAGCTGTTAAAGCTAAAAGTCATGATGATAAATGTAGGCTATTTCTTCAAGTAGTAATGCATATGCGTCACAGCAGAAGACCAGTTTTAGTAATCAGGAAATCAATATGAAAGAAATTAAAGAAAATTTTGTAGAGTATCTTCAATATGAAAATTAAACTTCAAAAGGATTAACAGTCAGGTGGTGGTGGCACACGCCTTTAATCCCAGCACTTGGGAGGCAGAGGCAGGAGGATCTTTGAGAGTTCAAGGTCGGCCTGGTCTACAAGAGCTAGTTCCAAGGACAGCTAGGGCTATACACAGAAATCTCTGGAAAAAACAAAACAAAAAAACCCAAAGAGGATCTTAACAATCCTTAGAATCACTGTCACCATTATCCAAAGACAATCTTTTACAGTAGACCATAGTCACAAAAGGAAACTAACAGTAATAAATGCTGTAGAGAAAGATGTCTGTTTTCTTACCTGAACATAAATAGTACAGCTTCATATTTACTACACAAATGTTAATAGATGTAGATTCCTCAAAACAACAAATAGCCTTTCTGAGAACTGCTAGTGAAATGCTAAGGCATCAAGCACTGCAGCTGTAGAGAAACCATGCTTACTTTCTAGCTTCCCATGCGCACACACATTTCCAACTGTACCTTCACATTAGCGTCCTTCAAACTGATGACTTTATCTAAGTCAGGTTTGGCTGCATTGGCACTGCCAATGAGTAGGTAGAAGGTAGCTCGTAGTAGTAAAGCTTCTGCCATGTATTTGCCTTGAGCTTCTATTTCCTTTGAGCATTCACTTATGATTTTGTCATAGTTTTCTTCTTCCATATACTGCTTAGCTTTTAAATAGCCAGAACTAAAGATGAAAGCAAACACAGGAAATTAATTACTAAGGGAAAACCAAATGCTAAAACCTGCTACATATGATACTCCAAGTTGTCTTTTCTTCATATATTAATCAGTCGCTATGGGACTGGAGCTATGGCTAGAGATTAAACTGACTAGGGTTTCTTAATCAGCAGAATTGTCTTGATACCTTCAAGAAACAATTTTCAAGCAGAGACAGCAGCCATTGGCAGAATGCTTTGGCTAGCACCCTGATTCTAACATTAGGTAATGTGAGGAGTGCTAATGAGAAAGATACTCTTCTATAATATGGATAAGGACCTTGTCTTCCTTCCTGTCTGGGCCATATCAGTAGTGTACTCAACAGCTATTTAAGAGCTAAGAGAAGAACAAGGAAGGAAATAAACAATAATCAAGGCAAGAGAGTGATCAGACTTGTGTTTTGTGGAGGGTGGAGTAAGGAAAACTAGAAGTAAAAACACTAAAGAGCCTCAAAAATAGATATATTGTTCCATCTTAAAAAGTAGACCTAGAGGGGGCTGGAGAGATGGCTCAGTGGTTAAGAGCATTGCCTGCTCTTCCAAAGGTCTTGAGTTCAATTCCAAGCAACCATATGGTGGCTCACAACCATCTGTAATGAGATCTGGTGCCCTCTCTGGCCTGCAGGCACACATGTAGGCAGATATTGAATGCATAATAAATGAATAAATATTTAAAAAAAAAAAGTAGACCTAGAATTAACTCAGGTCACCAAGGCAAGCACCTTTACCCAACAAGCTATCTAGAATGACCTCTCTTTTAAAAACAGAGAATACAACATTCCTCTCCTCCTTCCCTCTCTTTTCCTAGACAGGGTTTCTCTATGTAGCCCTGGATGTCCTGGAACAGGTGGTCTCTTGCTCTATAGAAAAGGCTGGCCTCGAACTCAAAGATCCACCTATCTCTGCCTCCTGAGTGCTGGGGTTAATGGTGTGCACGGCCACCACCTGGGTACAACATTTTTCTTCTAAGATGATGGTTGCTACTAGAGATGTTTAATGAAGGTTTCTGACTGAAAAAAAAAAACACTATAAGACTTCTAAGATATTTGATTTATGATAGTTGAACATTAACATGTGAAAAGGGTAGACTTTGGAAGTACACACTTCACATTTTTATCTTGTCTTGAACTAGAGACATGTGGCACGATTCCGTGCAATGATGCTGAACAGGGGCAGCGAGTCACAGGTCGCAAACACCCATAGAGTCACAAGGGCAAATAAATGGCAGTTTACTCTGTTGTTCAGTGGAGTACATAAAGTATCACATACTTGACTTACCACATTTTCAATTTACAGTGTATTGACAGGGCTTTAACACCTCATAAGTTAAAGGGCATCTGTTTTAAAGAGCACTGTACATTAAAGTACAGCTTCTCCTTTCAGTAATTATATTCTAGACCAGTGTTTCTAAACCTGTGGGTTGGACACTACAATTCCTAACAGTTGTAAAATTAGTTATGAGGTAGCAACAAAATAACTCCATGGTCACTACACATGAAGAACTGTATTAAAGGGTTGCAGCATTAGAAAGGGTGAGAACCATTGATCTAGACAGAGAAATGATGTGGGATTTCCTTCTGTATGCTGTGATTACCATTAATGAATAAAATGCTTTGGACCTATAACAGTGCAGAAGTTAGGTAGGCAGGGAAAACTAAACAGAAGACTGGGAGAAAGGAGGTGGAGTCAGAGAGAAGCCATGTAGCACCACAGGAGACAGACTCTGGAACTTTAGCTGGTAAGCCACAGCCTCGTAGCAATACACAGATTAATAGAAATGGGTTAAATTAATATGTAAGAGTTAGCCAATAAGAAGCTAGAGCCAATATGCCAAGGAATAATTTAATTAATATACTTTCTGTGAGATTATTTCGGTTCTGGGAGGCCGGGACAAACAAGCAGCTCCTTATACTGGTATATGATTTACAAGAAAAAATATATCAAATTTTCCTAACTTCACACTAACTTTTTATTCTCTATTTGTTGCTCAGGTTACCAGGGTAAGAAAACAGCAGCCGTTGCTAGCTTCATCAAAGGGTCTGAGTGAGGCCCAACTACAAACCACAAATTGCAGCACCAGCTCTGGTTGTGCTATTGTGAGTCTCTGCTCATAACCTGTCATCGCTCACCATGGCTCACAGAATGTGATTAACTTTGCTCTAGTTTTTATAGGGTGACAGAAGAAGAAATTATCTATATCACTGTTACTAAGTTATATGACATCTAAACATATGTCACAACTATGACTTTCTCAAAGATTACATACCAATTAACATTTACATATCTTGGTGTAATTATGCAGATATCCTTAAAACTCAGTTATATTTTACTCCAAAGAACAGTATTCTTCTCCCTTCCACACACATTAATAAATACCCAATTAGTAATACTATCATCTTCTCTCAGAGAAGAGTAAGTCTAACTGAAAAACACAAGCTTTGGCAAACATGAACAAGAGACAGGCTAGATTGCACATATATGACATCACAGGTCTCCAGTCACACAGGCACTTGTCCTTTAGCTTCAGCTTTCTATAGTACCAAAGACAAGAAGAAGTCATTAGGAATGTCACTTTGCTGGACAAGTAAAAAAATTTAAAATTTATAGCATCCCTAAGAATTCATCAGTATATAAATTAAAAACTATCCTGCACTTAAACATTTGAGCTACATATAAATTTTTTTTAAAGATTTATTTATTTATTATGTATATGGTGTTTTGCCTGCATGTACACCTATATACCAGAAGAGGGCACCGGATCTCAATACAGATGGTTTTGAGTTACCATATGGTTGCTGGGAACTGAACTCAGGACTTTGGGAAGAACTGCCAATGCTCTTAACCTCTGAGCCATCTCTCCAAGCCCTGAGCTACATATAATTTAAGGCAGTACCTTTATTCAAATCACCTACCAACTACGCACTTCAACTTAAGGGGTGTTTTCTTGATAACCCCACTAGGACTTTTACCATAGACAGTAAAATCTGATAAGAGAAATAACAGATAACTGCTAGAAAAAGAGGTGTATTTATACTTACATATAACTTAAAGTTGTATTTAACTGTATCTGTATGTAGATTTGCCTTTAAAGGTGACTATGAACCTACTGGTGCTCCAAGTCCAAAACCCATCCAGCAGACGCCATACTTACTTTTCTTTTACTTCTAAAGCTTCTCCTTCCTTGTCTTTATCTTCGTCAGACTTCTCTCCTTTAAGCATTGGTTGAGAAATTATATCATCCGTGAAAGAACTGAAGTAAGACTTAATAAACTGTGGTGATGGCATCAGAGGTTCACGGTTCTGAAATGCAATCATTTTTAAGCTTCTTTTTAAAATAGGAAAACATTAATCAAAGGAGTACACTGCAGAATGACTTTTATAAACAGTGGATATTTATTTTCAAATTATTAGACAATATTAAGCTTTAAGCTACAGATTAAGACTGGGACTCTAACATGTTTCACAGGTGATTGTAAAGAACTCCATTAAGGAGATAAAGTTCTGGGCTCTAGTACAGTTAGTTATATCGCTCTTGGATTAACAGTGCATGTTAATACATGAAAACCCACATTAAAGAAATCTCATAAGTGTTGGTTGTTGTTCTGAGACAGGGTCTCACTCTATACAGACTAGCTCACCCTTCAACTTAGAATCCCCTTGCTTTGCCTCCCAAGCACTGGAATTACAGACATGTGCCACCTAAATCTAGCTATAGAGATTAGTTATAAAGATCAATTTAGAAGAAAATGGAGTCATGAGCAAATAAAAAAGAACTGCCCTGCATTCCTAAAATTAGCAGTGCGCTGTCCATCACTGTTAGCTAAGCTCTGTCACTCTTCCAGCACTGTACCTCCCCTCCCTCCAATACTTAGCCCGTATTAGGTCCTTTACACTTAACATCTGTTCCAATTAAGCTTCTCAAATCCTGTTACAAATCCTGTAAGCGTCTCATTTTGTAGCACAGGCTAGCTTCGGTCCATGTACTCTTTCTACCCTAACCGCCCATGTAAGAGCTACCAGCCTGGAATCCAGGACATCTACTTGCACACACTGCTCTAGAAGAAAGCTTTGTTTAATTGTTAAATTAAACCATGTCACTAATTAATGTCCAATAATACAATTTACATTAGAAACTAATGACAGAGAGCAGGAGTTGGCAAGTATCTTTCTATAAAAGATCAGGTAATAGACAGAGAGGTTCTGTAGACTACACAGACTTTGCATACTGTGACAACCACTGAAATGTGTTGTAGCAGCACAAAAGTAGCCCCAAACAATATGCAAGTGGCCAGCATATAGGAAGCAGACTGGATTTGTTTTTTGAGCTATTATGTGGAAACTCTAACACATAAAATGAATTACAGTGTCTAAGTACAGCTCTGGGCTTACTGAAAATGGATATGCAACCTAAGAGGATAGGAAAAAGAAATACAACCCAGTTACAGTCTCAGGTGTTATCATAACCACTGTCAGTCTCCAGGAGTATCCAACTATCCCCCAACTCTTATTAACTTACCTTATATTTCTCTTTGGCGTTCTCTTTTCCGAGGAGTTTGAGAACTTTATCAGCTAACAGCATACTCTGCTCGTTCTGGAAGCCCTCTAATATACACACAGCAGTGACATCTGGAAATGATGGAAAAGTACAATTATGGAATTATTGGGAAGATGACCAGCAGCATCAAACAGGTACAAATTAAACTACAAAAAGTCAAACTCAACTCAAAGCAAGACAGAACTGTTTAATTTTCAAGAAATTGTTAACACTTTATTCCTCTGGGGCCTACTGTGTTTCATTTCTGAAGTCTCAATGCTCTAACGTTCTGTGGATAACGAAGAAAACAAGGACTGCAGAATCCGCTCTTCTGACTAGAAACACAAGGCAAGTGGACCAAGTAGACACTCTCACATCTTCCTATGCTACCTAGGCTGCTAACAAACTTCTCCACACAATTAATCCTCCTGCCTCACCTCCTAAGTATTTTTTTAAAGCTACTTTGCCACAGAACTCAAAATCTGCCTGAAACACAACTTTCACTGGGTATGCCGCAGCTCACAGCAGAGCGGTCTCAAGTGGCGAAGGAAAGCTCCTCCCACCCTTTACTCAAAAAGTGTTCAGCAGCTGTCACTTCTCCTTAATCTGACTTTTCACAAGTCCACACTCTATCTCTTCCAAACAAGTCAACATGGATTCCATTTCCCTGATAACTTCAGTCAGCTCTAACTTCATTCTTCATTCCTCATTCCATTTCTTTAAACTCCAGTCAACCTCTTCCCTGCCATATCTGCGAGCAACCCAAGGTCTAGTTCAAAACTTGGTATTCTCATTTTAAAAATGAAATTTTCACCAACACATGATATCACAAAACTTTTAAATTTCAAACACGATCTAAAACTGCCTCATCTTTTCAAAGGACTTAAAAAAAAAAAACAAAAAGCATTTTAGGCTCAGCTCAGTGGCATAAAGTATGCTTAGCATCTGTGAGATCCTGTACTTTTATTCCCCGGTATTAACCCCAAAAAGTTATTTAAAAAGTAATTGTGGCTAAATTTTATTACTGATGTTTTTAAAGGACTTCTGAATATGTACTGAAAGCACTTTAGATTGTAGAATCATGCTCTGCTTTAGCGTCACATCACTTAGAAAATTAAACTTTAAAAGTTGGGACCTGTACTTTAATTGCAGTTTTGGAAGCTGACATGGCCAATTAGAGGCAAAAAAACATTTATAACATTTTCTGAGAATTACATACTCTCCAATTGTGTAGAAAATAATGTTTGAAAAATATGGAGGGCAAATAATGTTTTCCTTAATGATTCATTTCCAAATTATTTCACGTCTATACAAGAAAAGTTGCTGTAAATATGTCAACACTAACCTGCTCAAACTATTTTTCTGATTTCCTTAGTCAATGAGTCTTAATACTAATAATTCCTTAGTTGAGGTTGGGTGTGGTGGGGTACACCTTTAATGTCAGCATTTGGGAGGCAGAAGCAGGTAGATCTCTGTGAGTTCAATGCCAGTCAGTCTACACGGTGAGTTCCCAGACAATCAGAGTTATATATAGACTGCCTCAAAAAATAAAATAAAATAAATAACTGAAAAACTAAAAAACAAACAAAAACAAAACTACACTCACAGGCAATTTCATATAAATTTACTAATGACTACAAAGCCTGCAGTAATTTTCCTATAAAAACACAGAAAAACGCTCACCTTCTAAACATTCCTTCTTATTGTCTAGCTTCTCATGGGCTTTTGCACGTCTAAAGAGAGCTTTCACATATTTGGGATTAAGTTCAACAGCCTTTGTACAATCTTGTGCCACCTCTTTCCATTTTTGCTGGAATTGAAAGCATGAAAGGAAAAAACAGTTACACAGAAAACAGAACTGTTAATAGAACTGAGTTTTCAAAACCTAACAGGCCTAACAGGTTAGACCTAACAGGTTAAGAATTTCTCAATAAAAGTATTCTCAATTCAAAGAGTAACTACAATGTACTACAAACGCTACATACACGTGCATGCCTGTGCACGTGCGTGCACATACAGACACAAAATATAGACACTACATTAGACTTCGACAAATAGGCAATGAAGATATTTAGGCTTTCTACCTTAGACCCACCTGTGGTTTTTGTGCTTCTAAACCTTTCACTCCTGTTAAAATTGAAAACAGCAGTACCCTTTAGCACTGGTGATCTGGATCCACACCTTCCCCATGCTAAGATCTCTGCTAAGATTCACCTCTCTTCTGAACCATCCCATTCATTACCTGGACACATGTCCAGATTTTGTTATATTTTACAGCTACCCCACTCATCAGCAACTTGTCATCAGTCTACCTTGCCACTTGTCTTGCTATCTATTGGCTGCTGCCTCTCAATGTATTTGGCTGAATACAATCTACTTGACTGCTACAAGCCGCTATCTTTAAGGACTCACGTCTCTCTTCTCCTTGGGTGACTGTCTGGCTTTATTTATCATCTAAAATTAGGTGATTCACAAAGTTATCTCTAGCTACCCTCATAAATTACAGATGTGTGATAAACTATCTTGCTCCTTCTCCATTCTGATGATATTAAATTCTTGTTTGTTTTCACTTTTCATGGCCAATGCAACAGCAAATTTTGCTGGTCTCAGCTTTCCTCTGCATGCTGTGTAGGCTATTCCAACAATATGCTGTCATCCTTTCTGATTCCAATATGTTCTTAACAAAACAGTGGGAGAAATCTTTGATGATATTCCTCCACTGTAAAATCCCTTAAATATTCCCACTGCACTCAGAATCAACTACAAATTCATTTTGCTTCATTTATTCATCATTGTCTTCAGCCAAGGTATGTAACCCACATTGGCCATCAAACCCATGGTCTTCCTATGTGCTGAGAATATAGGACTACATTGCTACACTTTGCTCAACTGTAAACTCATTGCCTACAGGCTTTTCCTGACTTTGTTCTTGCTTACTTCCACTTTCATTACTGTACTCAGTAGACTTTTATACTTTTTAAACATCAAATGCTTGCTTGTCTTCGGTTCCTCTATTAACACCCTCTTCTCCACTGTTTTAATGCATCAACCCTCTATAAAAGCATACAATCATACTACATAGTTTTTAATAAGAACAAAAGATTTGGTTATGCGAATATAAAAACTATACAAGACATAACAGTAACAAAAAAATGCAACAAACAGTATGCGTAAAAGGGACTCATCTTTTTCTTCCTTTTGCACATTACAAAGAGATAAAAAGTTGAACCAATAATCTCAAACTGCTGAGGGATCACTATGAAACTTGAACCTTCTAAACTATCTGATTTTATCACAAATTAAAATGTATAGAATTTATAGAATTTTGCTGTACAATTTTGGCTAGTAAAACTGAAAAGAAAAATTCTTTTCATTTCAAATCAGTTCCAAAAAATGCATTGGTGAGGGCGGTGGTTGCGCATGCCTTTAATCCCAGCACTCGGAAGGCAGGGGCAGGCGGATTTCTGTGAGTTCGAGGCCAGCCTGATCTACAAGAGCTAGTTCCAGGACAGGCTCTAAAACTATAGTGAAACCCTGTCTCAAAAAACCAAAAAAAATAAAATAAAATAAAAAAATAAATAAATAAATAAAAATGCATTGGAGCTGAGCAGAAGAATTAACTGAGACTTTAAGCAGATAAATAGAGGAAATAACAGTGGAGTACATACCAACTGTTCAAAGGCTGCAGCTCTGTTTTGATAAAATGTAGAAAGGTCTACATTCTTCTCAGTAGGGCACAAGCTAATTGCCTCAGTATAGCACTGAATAGCTTGTTCATATTTTCCTGCTTTGAAATATTTGTTGCCTTTGTTCTTGGCTGCTTGGGCTCTATCCAGAGAATTCTGAAATGAAAAAAAACAATTATTAAGAACTGACATTTAAGAATAAACTCAGACCATAGTGATTAAACAAGCTGATGAAATAATATGGGAAAATAGGGTGGCTGTTTACAGTTTGAAACCACTCAGACTTTTCCCCCCAAAGATGAACACGTTAAAGGGTCACTTCTCTATCACTTCTGCCAATGCCATAAGTAACAACTTTAATGTTTTCCAATCAAATGGGTATAAAAAAATGTTTCTCAGCCAAAGCTCTACCACTGAAGTATAAAATAAAAACCATAAAAATATAATCCACAAGTAAACATATTAAAAAGGAAAAAAAGTATAATTAAGTATAATTAACTTAATAGAGGGGCTATATTACAACAAGCACAGCTGAGGAACAAATTAAGTATAAGGCAGGATCAAGGAAAACTTCCAGAATTCAATAAAAACAGAGGATGAGGTAAGAAGTTTGAAGAAAATAAGCAAGTACTTCCAACATCCACCAAGTTCCCTGAAGGAAAGACATAGTGAAAGACGGTATTAAAAAATTAGAAAAACAAAACCCATACACTTTTAAAACACATTATGCTGGAATTTATAGCAACAATTCCAAAGACATTTAAGTAGAAAAGAAAATCAGATTAACTACAATGGAAAAAGAACAAATCAGGTAGAAGTTTCCAACGTTAGGTCCTGACAAATAACTCTGAAGCAAGAATTTCAACTCAAAATTCTGTAATTTGACAAACGAATGAAGTTAAAGACAGACACATACAACAGTTTTAATGCTCCAATGAACCTGGGGCAAGTGAATGACCAATGCATTGAAAGACAGAAAGAATGGCACAAGAACAAAAAGGAAATATGGCAATAATCATTACACTCATCAGTAATAAATGTGAATAGGTGAGTCTGTGATTAAGATTTTTAAGTTGGGGCTGGAGAGATTGCTCAGAGGTTAAGAGAACTGACTGCTCTAACAGAGGTCCTGAGTTCAATTCCCAGCAACCACATGGTGGCTCACAACTATCTACAATGAGATCTGGTGCCCTCTTCCAGCCTGCAGGCATACATGCCAGAACACTGTATACATACCAAATAAATCTTTTTAAAAAAAGATTTTCAAGTTGTTTAAAAGTAAAACTAAGTGCTGCCTGAATAGATGACTTAAAGTAAAACAATAAAACATTTAAGAAAGGAAAAATAAACATTATAAAA